TAGAAATAGTAATCATATATATGTAAGGTGTAGCAGTTAATATGAACAATATCATTTATATCATGTAAGTCATATATAGCCTTATCATATACAAAATCAATCATCTCCTCATCATATATTATATATTCATATTAGCATTCTATCATTATATGTCAAATGTGTCAATCAATCAATTATGTCATTAGTCAGTCCATCATATATGTCATATCTGTCATTTATATATTATTTTTCATGTTTAAATCTATTATATCGTATATTCTTATGTATAGTATTACGTATAGATATAAATGTGAGTTCAGTAAGCATGGACATACAACTTTAACGTTATATTTTTTTAATATTTTTAACCCTAACTATTAACTAGTTAGTCATCAATCTTTATCTTGTTATCATCATTCATAAATCTTAATTTATTTCACAAATGGCTTTTAGTAAATGATTAAGAGTCACCACTCTCTACTCATTGGCATAGTCAATTATAGGCTAACTTTCATGATTACACCACAAATCTTTTATTTAAAAGAAAATGTGTTGGCCCAACTTTCTACATAGAGTATTACATTTTAAGAACTAACATATATTAATTATAATGTCCATATTAATTCTTTATATATTAGTTGAATCATTTGCTTTCTACAATACAATATATATCTTATTCATATATATAGGTATTATACCCTAAAATGCATGTTATATCAAATGAACGATAATCATATGCATATCATGTATCTCATATCCAAATTTAGTACAGTAGCACCTAATCATTTTACAGTCAATATTTTTTCCACTCATTTTATAGAAAATATCATATAAGCCAAATTACTTGATAAAAACTTTATATAAACTAGTCAAAATACTCTTAATAATGATATATATCACATTTCAAAAGTTACATGATGAAATTTAACAGAAACGAGTGATATCTCCTTTTTATTAGTTTAATAAGAGAGAAAACATATTGAATTTAGAATCATGAAAAATAGATGCAGAGTAAAGTCACTATAATCATATAAGCTTTCATAACAGGAATGAGGGATGAAAATTTCTTGGAAGACTTTCTCTCTCTTATCTCTCTCCTCTCCCCCCCCCAAGAGGACTGGTCCACAGCACCAGTGTCATCCAATATACAGCGTCATCCAAGATCCAGCGTCGCAACACTGTATGTAAAAGAGCACTGCTCCACAGCACCACATCAGTGTTACTAAGTATAATTTATTTTCAAAAGTTTCATAGAGCTTAACTTCACGGCATCATTAGAAGAATTATTTTTTTATCTTTTAATTTACAGAACTAGAGCCACATAATTTCTTTTATCAATATAAATATTAACATAAATAAAACTATCGATCAAAACATCAATATATACATTTGTAGTTATTTCCCTCAAATTATATATACTACTCAAAATCTACACAATCATATCATAATTATTCTGTCTTGAGTATAAAAGAATAGCTAAAATAAAAGAAAAAGAACTTAAACTTGAAGAATCCTGGTTTAATCAAAATCACACACATGTTCCTCTGCCCTGACCTAAAAATTTTTTAACCATAAATTATGAGCTAAAAAACCTAGCAAATCATCAAAACCTACAACTAAACTCGTTACAAGATAAATGAGTAATATGCATGTCAACAATTAAATTATAACATTAGCATTCACATGATCATAAGACAATATAATAGAGAAATTAGTAAACTATAACATGTGTCAAATCACTAAAGCAATCATCATATTAATAATTCAATACTATCAATAAGTAGAGATCGTATACAACGATAAAACCAAATCATCGATAAAGATTTTTAAAATTATATTAAGATAGTAAAATCATATATATGAGTACACACATATTATCTAGTTATTCTATATCAGTATCAAATCATTATGTAATGTGCATAGTATGTCATACCAAACAAGTAAGAATTTTGGCTATCACGATGCTTTTCAGTATCATTCTTTGTTCGTTAGCACAGTAATCATTTTCTTATAACTTTTAATCAGTATCATGTGAATTAGTATAGAATAACACAAAATCATATTATTTAAAAAAAAGCTTATGAGCTCACTATCTTGTAAAAGACAATCAGTCTTCAACCAACAAGTCAACTAGTCTTTTATATACAAATTATTATCACAGTACTGTAGCAGTAATCTCAATCGCATATTCACATTTATTTTTAGGGATTTTTACATACATAACACTTAAAACTATTAAAAATACATATCTAACACCTAAACATTAATATTTACTTATTTACCACTCCGTTACACACACCGTCACATCCCGCACTCTCGGTGGCCACCTTCACCGTAGTGCCCTACGGCGGCGGCATCCAGCTCAACAGTGGCCAAACTTGGACCATCGACGTCCCAGACATGACCACCGGCGGCCGCGTGTGGGTCCGCACCGGCTGCTCCTTCGTCGCCTCCACTGGCTGCTCCTTCGTCGCCTCCACCGACTGCTCCTTCGTCGCCTTCAGAAACGACAATTTTGAAACTAGTGACTGCAGCGACAAAGTCTCCTGCACCTTCTACAGCTCGCCGCCGAACACCTTGGCCGAATTCGCCCTCAACCAGTTCTCCAATCTCGACATCATCTTTGGACGTGTCTACCGTCGCTGAGTTCCAAGCGGCAAATTCTGCGTCAAATCATTCTCCGGCGGGATTCGTTCGGATGGAAATGGCATTGAGAATAGTACCAACAACAGCAGCATCACATAGCATTCTCCCTCCTTGCCTGCATCTCCAAGGCCTGCTCCATCCTCGATGCCATCGCTGATCTCAATTTCTCTTGTTCTGATTCCCCACATAGCCTTCTCCCACCTAGCTATGAAGCAGACTAATCTGGCAACAATGGTGGGTTGCTAGATGGGATTTGGAGCCCCAGGAATTTGCTGGGAGCAATAGTGCCAAGCTGCACTACAAGCTAAAATCTCAGCCCAAACTAGATCCACTGCCAGTATTAAAACGCCTCCGTGAGTCTAGCTCCTCTCAAGCGCCAACCACTCCCTCGTGCCCATATCATCTCCACCACAACGCAAGCCCAGCACGCTCGAGAGAAAAATAGCAAGCGAGGAAGACAAAAGATATTAAGAGAGGGAGTGAGAGGAACGGAAGACGTCGTATGGAGATGTTCTGATGCCTGTGCCAAAACTTTTAGCGGTGAGTTACTTTGAGCTATTTTGATTTGCCGATGCAAACGAACGGAAGAGGACACTCGGATAAACGGAGTGGTAGAGTAGAAAAAAAAATGGAGATTTTAGGTGGTAGATAAGTAAATATTAATGTTTAGGTGTTAGATATGTATTTTCAATAGTTTTAGGTGTTATGTATGTAAAAATCCCTTATTTTTAATGCATTCCAGCAAATAAATTATAATTGAGCTTAATTCCAAAGGTGCTAAAATGTCCTAATGGTAGGCAAATAAAAACCCTACTAAGCAAAATTTTATATTTTCAGAAATTAATCAAATTAGAAGAGATTATATAAAACATCATTTTGAAGCTTTAATTGAATTGATACGCTATTTTAATGTCAAAATAAATTTTAGAGTTGGAAAAAATTGTTGCTTTTTCAAAATTACCCAGCAAAAAAAATCAAATAAATACTCAAAACGTTCATGATCTCGATCTCTATAACATATAAAAATTTATGTAGTAAAAATTTTACCAATATAAAATTATCATTATTTTTCTATAAAATAAAATAAAATTAGATCAATTAAATATCAAAAACACAAGATTATAGAAATAAAAAATAGTGTAAAGATTACTTACAGCAAGACGAGCAAATCTCTCAATAGGACAGATGGATGAAAATCGCTCCACAACCTTCATATTCTAACTTTTTCCTTTATATCTCTTCTCTTTCTCTCTTTTTTTTTTCATTTCTTTTTTGGCCAAACAAAGGGAATAATAGGATTTTAATAAAGCTACTTAGTGGCTTAAGATATTTATAAAGAAATAATAATAAAATATTTATATAAATATATAATATAATTAATTTTTATATAAAATTCATAGAAATCTTTTTGGGATTCAAAAACTATAGAAAAAATCTATAAAATAACTCATTTTATTTATAAAATTCAGGTGAAATCGATTTATAAAACGAACATATGACTATCCCAAATTCACACTTGTACCGACTGGTGCTAATTTCTTAATGATTTTCACCAATGCCCAAAAAATTATGATAAAAATCATATAATTAAAATACTATAATATGAATGCTATGATGAAGACGGTTTGTGATTTGGACTTATATTAACTCCAAAAAAAAATTAAAACTGGATTAAAATACGGGCTATTACATCCAACACAGCTGATCCCACAAGCACGGCACCATAATGCTCTAGCTCAAATTTTTCATATTTTTATTTTAAATTTATTTTTAAAATTTTAGGTTACTACAAAATTAGTTATTTAATATATTTGTGAATTATTTTGATCTTTTATAATGAGTCAAAGAAACATTTTAATTCTTTTTTATTTGAACTATAAATTTGTTGCTTTCATGTTGATATGAACTCATAAGTGACTATTTGATGTTTTGCAGGACTTCCGCTCGAATAATTTACACGTACATCATAGACCTAAGAAGCTTTAAGAAAAATTTCTAATTTTTTTAGCCATAAATAAGACTGAATTTTAAAAAAAAACATATAATTTAATTTTAATCATAATGTTATAGCAATTATAATAAAAAATATAATATGGATATTTTTAAAGAAATATAAAATCATGGGCCTTTGAATCATTACACTTAATTCGAACTATATAAAATATGGATATTTTTAAAGAAATATAAAATCAATTAATTAAATGAGGAAAAAAAAGGGCCTTTGAATCACTCACCGGGCCGAAACTTCCATAGTTCAACGTCAGCCTACTGCCCTAATCCAGCGCCTTCCAGAATATTCTAAAATGATTCCCGATCTATAATATTTTAATAAAAAATTTCCCTATATAAACCCTTCCTCCTCCGTCTTCTCCCGTTTTACCCCCACACTGGTCAGTGCCACAGCCCGCGAAAACTTCTACCAAGCTCGGACCTTGAGCCAATTCTCCTCTTTGCAGTATTTTTCTCATTCAATTCATTAAGCGAACTCCCTCATCGCATCAAAATCCAATATTTGACGTCAGATTCTCTATTCTTCCATTCGTCAATGGAGCCCCATTTGCCGAATCCGGTGAAGGAGGAGAACCCGACGGGAAGCAATCCTCAACCTGCGTCTTCTTTTGCTCCACGGCCTATGGCGGGATTGCAGGATTCCTGGCCGCCTCCATTTCTGACGAAGACCTATGACATGGTGGACGACGCCGGTACCGATCAGATGGTTTCGTGGAGCAAGATGAGCAATAGTTTCGTTGTTTGGGATCCCCATTCCTTTGCAATGGATTTGCTTCCTAAGCATTTCAAGCATAATAACTTTTCCAGCTTCGTCAGGCAGCTCAACACTTATGTAAGTTGTAATGATTTGAGTCTTGCTGGATGTATGCGTTTCTGATTGTTTGCCCTTATATACTGTTCAAGTGACAATGCTAGTGGTTATTTCATTTTCTTCTGATACACAAAATCTTGCGTTATGTTGTCTTACCTGTGGTTTTTGTTTCGCAATTGTGTATGGAAGTGAGTGTGTTGGGCTCATTTAATTAATTTTCTATTTTTAAAAGAAGAGATTAAGAAATTATTGTTGAATTTTTGTTTTTATAATTTGGCTTTTAAATTTCATTCTAAAACGTTTTTTAAAAAATACAATTTAATCTTTTTTACACACCTGAGGTCAATCTGTTTTACTGTTACAATGATGATAGTAAGCTTAAGCTCAATCACATAACCTGAGGTCAATCTGTGTTCTGTGTGAGATGAGAGAGAGAGAGAGAGAGAGAGAGAGAGAGAGAGAGAGAGGTGGAACAAATGTTATTATGATGGAGGACAAAGATCCGTTGTAATTACGTATACCCTTTCTGATAATTCAAGAAATTATTGTAGCAACCCAGGCCTCATAACTTTATGTAAAAACATTTCCTAATAAGAATACTATATGATTGTGTAAGCTAACCTATAGTATCTAGTTCTGTTGACCTGCAACGTGAGGAAGAATTGTTGAATGCGACATTGCCATGAATTTGCAAGGATGTTGCCTAAATGTAGGTTTATGTATTGCCAAACAGAATCATGGTAGCATTGCATATGCAGAACAATGTTGCGGAAGGCACAGTTCATGGCATAATTTCTGAAGTTGATCTTGTAATTAGCTGGATCTTTAAGTTGTTTTTATTGAAAATGAACGAATTGATAGCTCAAGTAGATGTACGAAGAAATTCTACTATGGTTGCAAACTAAAAGAGATCTCTTTGTATCAATGCAAGCCTATCTTGCATTGCCTACGTCTACCCCTCAAAGGGAACAACGGGCTTTAGTAATTGTGTTAGTGGATATCATTTGATAAAATTTGGGGAGTGGTATTAGCAAGTAATAAGAAGTGGCTTACTTGAAATAAGGGAGCCTAATCTGGCTATCTGATTACTTGATGCATAGAGGATTTCATTTGTAAAAGAAAGTCTTTTTGGAGTCTTAGTACTTCTATCGAATTGGTAAACATTTGTGGCCAATTTGGAGTCAAGTCAAAAATTGTGTTGGATGCATATCAAAGAGCTGCTCATTCTTTCAAATTTATCAGAACATGGCCTACTAAAACTGCCTTTCTGGTGGTTGCTTTGGTAAGGTTGTTGTTTTGAGATATTTGGATGCTTTCTTTGTGGATAAATTGCTAATCAGTTTTGTTTAAGCTCTAATCTATCTTGAAATTTGGCTCGAACAAGTAAGCCAGCTACAGCCGTGTAAATATGTTAAAAAAACACTATTTTAATTTCCATTAAGCTTGTCTAATTGAAATTAAGACTGATAAATTGTCTATGGTCCTTTTCTTGTAGCTCTAGAAGAAAATGCTGGAACAGACAAATCACCAGAGCAGTTTCCTAATAGGTCTAGCTGCATACCCTCATGCTGTCTAGAGTCTATATTCAAATGGTCAGTATACATATATGCTACACATTTCTTGTGAGGTGAAAGTACAATATATTAGTATTTCGGAATTATGTTCATGACACACAATCATGAATGATAGATGACTTCTTTATGACAATATGAAAGGTAATCACAATATGGCTTTTGGTTTATATTTCTATGACTTATGCGATACTTTCTCTATTCAGCTTACTTTTGTTAAAGAATTGATGAGGATACAATCAACACCTGTAATGTAATTTTCTACCCTTAGTTATATTTTCAAATGGTTTACTGGGATTATGGTTTCATTTTGTTGAAACAATCTTTATGGTCACTTATCTATCCATCCTATTCAAGCATGTCTTTCATAAAAGTTGATCAATTGGTTATTACACCCATTTGGTAAGGAGGAGGGATTGAGTTCTAATCTAAAAAAAAAAAGCATTGGTTTGTGAGATGTTTATATTTAACCGGAAGACATATTTAGGAGAGAGGAATTGTGACAAAGAGTGAAAGGAGACTAGTGATAAAGAGAACAATGAGAGGACTTGGCTTGTGTCTTAGTATTCACATATTGGAGAGGGTTCCATTTGGAACACTTTGGTTGGGTCTCTATTGCACCAATATGGACATGGAGATGCGGATACGACACGATATGGATATGAGACACGTCAATAATTAAAAGTATAGGATACATGTATGGCGTGAAAACATCATTATAATTTATAGCGTGTATTAAAATTAAGAAAATAATCAAAGCATAATATTTAAAATGACAAAAAAAAACAACATCAAATTAATTTTGTAGCTTATAATATTAAAATAAAAATAAGCATAAAATATCTAGTATAACATAAAAATTATAAACATAATATGCTTAGTACATGAAGTTTCAACTATTCAGTAGAATGAATGATATGATTAACTTCTTCAGGGATTTGTCTTTGGGCTTTAATATTATTTTCAATAAATATCATTATTTTTAATTCTAGTTCATAAAGTGAAAGATTAGTAATCTCCAATATTCTCATATCATCAAGGGACTCAAATCTATCTCCAGCAACATCTCAAATTTTATTATCTTCTTCCTTATAAAGTTGGAATCTTTCTTGATAGAAACTGAATGCTTGTTTGCACATAAACTAAATTTTCAACTTGTTGTGAAGTAATTTTGTTCCTTATCATTGATTGGATGGAGTATGCGCTTCAGTTTCTCTCACAATAAGAGGAGGATTAAACTTGACTAAGAAATTTTATGATAATTATTTGAAGTAGAGGTGCTAAAACTCCATGAATCAACCACAGCATTTTTTGATCCATTCTCCATATAAAGGCTCTTGGTCATCAAAGTCTTCTAACAACAACAACAACATGCCTTTATCCCACTACATGGGGTCGGCTACATGAATCCTTTTTCTCCATTGTCTCATATTAAAAGTCAAATTCTCATTTAAATCTAACAGAGAAAGATCATTCTTCTCCTCTTCTTCTCTTCTTCTCGTTTGACTCTTGCAAACTCTCAAAATACTGTGTCAATAGCTTTGAAGACAACTTGGATAGCACCATAATCAAACCCAATAAACACCTCATCCATGCTAACAACTCCATTACTCTCAACCTCTAATATAGCACTTGGATGCTCACTAACAAAAACCTAGCCACAACCCACTATTCGACCATCTCAACTTTCCAACAACCCTATGATCTCAACCCTAACGCTTGCACTAGAGTTGATTAATCATTGCAGCTGCTTGCAATCGAGCAATCGCTACATACTCCAACTAAAAAATTAATTACATTTCGCATCAATGAAAAACCAATTCATTATCCAATACATTTCTAACATCAAGGCTAAAATTGACTCCATTGTTATTACTATCATCTCTCTTAATCCAAAAGGCATTATCTTTATACATCATAAATGGCCTATCCCCAACTCAACAAGCATTTAACATAGACATCAAGATAAAATCCATCCAAACAATTTTTATGATCTTTATTCCCTATTATGTTTCTAGGAGACAAAACTAGCGAAGGAAGCTTCTCGCTTACAACACCTACCTCTGTCCCCCACTTAGCCCTCACGATCGTGGTCATGGTTATAGTCAAGGTCACTCCCACAATCAATATTCCCCCAAAGGTTGTGGCCCATCTAATAACCCAAGAGGCCACACCTACGGAAGAGTTTGCTTAACCTATTATCCAATACCAAATCTATGTTAAGTTGGGCACTCACATTCAAATGTTGGCTCGCATTGACCTAAAATACACTCCATCATCCTCCAAACAAGCTTTATTCCTTGTTATGTTCCAAGGAGACAAAACTAGCAAAGAAAGCTTCGGAGCTTCTCGCGTAAAACACCTATACGTCTTTGACCGCCACTCAACTTTCATAGTCGGGGTATGATCGTGGTTCAAGTCACTCCCACAATCAACATTCCTCCAAAGGTCGTGCCCTCTCCAACAAATCCAGAGGCCACACCTTCCCAACTCCATCTCATGGCAGGCTGTCAGCAGTGTTTGCTCAACCTATTATACCATGCCAAATTGTGTCAAGTTGGGTCACTCCAAATTCAAATGTTGGTGTCGCAATAAGCTAACATACACTCCATCATCTTCCACACAGGCTCTATTCACAAACTCGCCTACTCCTGCTTCCAAATGGTTATTAGAATCTGGTGCAACAATTTGATTGAACTCTAATGCCAACATAATCTCCACTCCCACTCCATATGAAAACACCAACAAGTCATTGTCATCAATGTCAAGCACTTCCAATCGGACAAAGCACACACAGAGATTTGGATCAAGTTGCACCAACACCTAAATTTTTGACCTTATGGCACAAAAATGTTAATTCTGTTTATAATAATCCTTTGAAAACAGATTCATCTTGACAGCCGCCTCATTTAAGATTCAACTTCTGCAGGGATTTAGGAAAGTGGATCCTGACAAATGGGAATTTGCACATGAAGGCTTTCTTAGAGGTCAGAAACACTTGCTGATGACCATCAAAAGAAGAAGAGCCCCTGCCCATTCTTCACATCAACAGCAGGCTTCTGAGGCATGCCTAGAGGTTGGAAAGTATGGACTTGATGAGGAAGTCGATAGATTAAAACGTGACAAGAGCCTATTGATGTCAGAAGTCATAAAGCTAAGGCAAGATCAGCAGAACTCAAAAGCTCGGCTTCAAGCCATGACAGAGAAGCTAAAAGGAATAGAGCAGAAACAGCAGTACATGATGACATTCTTGGCAAGAGCAATGCAAAACCCTGGCTTCGTAGATCAGTTAGCTGAACAGAAAGACAAGAGAAAGGAGCTTGAAGAAGCCATTTCAAAGAAGAGAAAACGCTACATCAACATTGTACCTGCAAATGTTAATGCCAGTACAAGCCAACTACAACTTCAGGATCCTGAGTCCATATATACTCTTCAAGGAAATGAGCAATCTGGATATGACCTTTTAGAGCTTGAGAATCTGGTCTCAGATGTTCCAGAAGAGGAGCTAAATGAAGAGCAGCAGCGAGAGGTTCCAGAAGAGGAGCTAAATGAAGAATTCTGGCAGCAGTTGGTTAATGAAATGATCTCAGATCAGCCAGGAACAACTGACTTAGACTTGACAAAACCTCCAAAGTAATTTCTGGATCAGCTGTGATCTCCTCTTCTAAGGCTTTGTTTGGGACGGCTTTGCTACTGATTTTTAAAGTAGTTTTTTAGTATTAAAATTTTAATTTTTAAACTAGAAAGCCGCTTTAAGAAGCAGTAAGAAAGCCATCTCAAATGAAACCTATGTAGAGTGTTAATGCACCAATATATCATATATTCATATCCCTTCTGGTATGAAGCTACAAACTTATATTGAGAACTTCAGCCTTTCTAAATAAATATTTGTTTCATGGCAGGATGGCGGTTGTTTTGACATCATATGAGCAGAGCCCATTATCATATCCTTTTACTTGCTAACTATTTATGTCGCCATTAAGATTTTTTATTTCTCTTTTCCATCGTTATGATCATAACCTCATTGGTCTTTGGGCAGATAGCACAGTGAAGGAAGATGAATATAATTTGATCTTTGCAAGAAAGTTTCACAAGCTACAGTTCAAGGTTGGCAGCATTTTCTTATGAAATATGTAGTGACTTGGAAGGTTCTTGAAGGTTCTTATAATAACTAATGGGCTTCTAGTGCAGCTTCTGCTTCCATTGAAACCAAATGTCTTGGCTGTTCTCATCGAGGTCCAGTGTTCTCGAGTTGTTGAAGCTGGTTTCATGGAGGGCTGGTGGGAGCTGATCCTTAGGGTTGTGGACAATTATTGTCAAGTTTGCTGTGGTTTTAGTAGAGTTCATTTAGGTTTATGGATCAAACATTATATTCTTTGTATTGATGTTGCTCGGCTTGTTTAGCTATTACAATCATGTTTTCTGATTATTGTTGTTGCTTACAACCAGATTTTTGTTCGTCTGTATTAGAGATGTAAATGAGTCGAACTTAGTTCGAGTTTAATTATAGGAGTTCGAGTTGATGAAAGAATGAAAATGATTATGATTTAAATAAGTATGATAATAAAATTATAAATAATGAAGAATCATTTGATATAAGAATTTTATATTTTAATTTTTGTATTCTAATATGTTTAAAGTGTGTTAATAATAATAAATTTTAAACGAGCTGAACGAGTCTAGCGGAGGGCTCAAGTTTGGCTCATTAGCTTATCAAGTTTGGCTCATGAGTCATTTATTTTGTCGAGTTTGAGTTCGTTTGACTTATTGACAATTTGACATGCCTAGTATGAAATTCAGGCCCTGTTTGGGATAGTTTTTTTATTGTTTTTAAAATAGTTTTTTAGTTTTTTTTTTTTTTTTGAATTTTCAAAAAAGTTTTGTAGGAGAAAGCTATGTTAGAAAATAATAAGAAAGTTATCAGAAATGAATTTTTAATTTGGAGTTTTTAATCAAATTTCATATCATTTTAATGTAAATTATATCAAGATGAATTTAAAAATTATTAAATTTTATAATTTTTTTATAAAATAGATTTGATTGTTTTATAAGTCCATTTTTTATATTTATATCTGAATATATAAAATATTTTTCTTCCCAAACAGAGAGGTTATGAGTGGCAGAAATGAAATTCTTAGTCTCTCTTTCAGAAACTTTTATTCTATCCAGTGAACGTAAGCAGAGGAAGGTTCGGTTTTAGACAAAAATGTCTGTACCGAATTTTTAGCGCATGTACCGAGTTTTTTGGCGTTTTTTTTTCCTAAAATCGAACCTTCCTCTGTGTACGTTCACTGGATTGAATAAAAGTTCCTCTTTTAACTCTTTGTTAGAGATTGATCAGAATAATTGTTATGTTATTGGCACTGTCTCGAGCATCTCTTGTGGCAAATTTCTTGCAACTTATAATAATAAATATACTAATTACAAGTCCTTTGTTCAATGTATTCAGTATAAATATTGTATGATATCATCTAATTATAAACTTTTTTTACATAATTAATATCAAATATATAGTTATAATCATATAGAAGGAAGCAATAACATTGTTACATTATGCTTTCAGAGAAACAAAAAATAATCCAAAAATCAATTATTTCAAAATAAATTGCCCCTTTATAAAAGATTTCAAAAGATATTTTTCCTCATTCTAATGCGTACTCAAAGATTCATGAGCAAATAAATCTTATAGGCTTTTTATTTCTCTAAATTTATATATGTTATGATTATTCAACAAGTTTTATGTTGACAATTAACTATCTGATTCCTCTATTTTTTTGGCCCATGAATTGAGGCCTGTTGATACATTTCTTTCAACACATACAAAGCCTATTCATTTCTTTGTATGGATCGACCAATCCCTCGTTATACTATTTTATTATCTTCTCTTGCTCTTTACATGATGATAAATGGATAGAGAAAATCAAAACAATTTGAGCATATTCTAAAGCCAAAAACAGGACTTCAAAATGACAAAATCACCGATAACGAGATGTAGTATTTGAAATGGTCTATCGTTCGCAACTCCCTGATTGCCAGAATGGCCATCTTAGAGGTTCGAGTGGTTTGGGGTGCAAAAGCTCTCATCATTGTTGTTGCGTGCTAGAATAACGCGGCGGTAGAGTTTGTAAATTTACGTCCTAGCGTTGTACGAGTATTCAGCACACAAGCAGAAAAGAGAAGTGAACACCAAAGTTTTTACGTGGAAAACCTGAAAGAGGGAAAAAAAACACGGGGCCTCGCCCAGTTGCAAAGTTCCACTAGTATCTGTTTCAAGTACAAAGATTGATCCGTCTTACAAATCATGACAATCAATTTACAATCAACTTCTCACAAATTTACAAAGTTCTGCAAATTCCCGGCGTTTCCCGAAAATTCGGCAGAGTTTCGGCGTCTTCATGCGGCAGGAAGAGCTATGGCAGTGGTCGAGAGGGAGCTTCTTTCTTCTCCTCCTTCTCTTCTTCTTCTTTCTCTTCACTTGAGTCCCCCTTTGTGAAGAATGAGGGCTCTATTTATAGTTTTTCTGGAGTAGCGTGGCTCGTAAATAGGTGTGATATCATGGGCGAATAGGGAGTGGTTTGAATGGACGGCCGATATTGAACCCTTCGATCGTGCACCGTTCGTTGGACATTTGGAGGCTTTAATGATGTTGGAATTCGGCGATCTTGGGCTCGTTGGATTCTTCTCGTCCAGCCGCTCGATTTGAGTATAAGCTCGTAAAAATCGAAGACCATTTGGCAACTCAAATTGCGGTTTGAACCTTCCAACAACGCTTCGGGTCCTTGATTCGGACTCATTTGGACTCGGATTGAGTTGAATTTGGTGTCGTTGAGTTCGTATTTTCGAGACGCTCAGTTTGACTATGAGCTCGCTGAAATCGGAGTTCGGTGCTCCCAAAATTAATTTTTGAAGTTTCCAACTAGCTTTTGCCTCGAGATTCGTGCCCGATCAAGTTAATTCCGTGATGCCGTATCAATTGTCCTACAAAAATCTCTAAAAGCAATCTCCATACCAACAGAAAGATTGAAAAATAGGATTGGTTAAGATTATGTTTGGGAAGAATTACAAGAGGCATTTGTAGACTAAATATTATTTTCTTTATTTCATTTTATTATTTCTTTTTCTCACTCTAAAATTCTCAAAACCTTTGTAACAAGTTCTTAGGCTCTTATCAACGTTGACAACCACAAATATTAAATATAAATTATTTTTTATCAAGAGATAATATTATTAGAGGCTTACTTTTCTTTTCTTTTTATTTATGGAAAAATTAGGAGCATAGCCTAATTTTATTGACTAAAAAGGATAATTACAACAGGTAGAACCTATGAAAGAGAATAAAATAATTATGGAGCATTATATGAGGAGAAATTGAATAGAGAAAATCAAAATAATTCAAACAAATTTCAAAGCAAAAAAAAAAAACTAAGAAAGTGCTAAAATCGATCACCCATAACCGGGTGTAGTATCTGAAATGGTCAATAGAGGGCTACTCCCTGGTTGCCATAATGACCATCCAAGGTGGTAAAGCGGTGTGGGGTGCAAAAGCTCTCATCATTGTCGTGAACTTATGCAATCTTCAAAGCAATCGACAAACAAACAAATACTTGTTGCGTCCTAGAATATTTGCGGCGATAGAGAAATATAAAATATAACGTCTTAGCATTTTACGAAGATCCAGTACACATGCAGATAAAAGAGAGGGTGAAGCGTTCATAAGAGACACCTGAAATTTTACGTGGAAACCCCTGAAAAAGGGAAAAATCATAGGGCCTAGCACAGTTTGAATGAATCCACTATTAATTACAGTTGATTACAAATGAGGCCCTTCATTGGAGGGAAGGTCTTGGCTTGATATATATATATCACATAGAATGCATTACATGGTAGAAATTAAAAGAATCGGTATTGATATGTTCGTTTAGTAGGCAAGATCATAGTCGGCAGTCAACAGAGGTTAAAAAGACCATAGTCGGAAAGAGATAAGGATCAAAAGACCGTTGTTTAACTGTGGAGGTCGGAAGGACCTTAGTAGGCGATAGAGGTCAGAAGGGTCGTAGTCGGTAGGATACAAGAGTTAGAAAGATTGTTATCATAAGGTAGTAGTCCGACAAAACTCCGATGATAGGTGGTGGTCTGGCAGAACTCCGGGCTTCAGGTGGTGGTCTGGAGAAACTCCGATGATAGGTGGTGGTCTGGCAGAACTCCGGGCGTCAGATGGTGGTCCGGGGAAACTCCAAGTGGTGGGGCGTCAAGTGGTGGTCCGACGGAACACCGACGTGAGGTGGTGGTCCGTCGGAACTATAAGCGTCAAGTGGTGGCCAGGTGGAACTCCGTGAGTCAGGTGGTGGTCCGGCGGTACTCCAACGTCAGATAGTGGTCCGGCGGAATTTCGGCCTTCAGGTGTTGGTCCATTAGAACTTCGGGCGTCAGGTGGTGGTCCAGTGGAACACTAGCGTCAGGTGGTGGCTCAATGGAACTCCGTGCATCAGGTGGTAGCCTGGTAGAACTCCGGCATCAAGTGGTGGTCTGATAGAACTCCGGCGTCAGATGGTGGTCCGGTGGAACTCCGGACATCAGGTGGTGGCCCAATAGAACTCTGGGCTTTAGCTAGTTGTCTGGCGGAACTCCGGCGACAGGTGGTGGTACAGCGGAACACCGGGCGGTGGTTGAGGAGGAGCGAGAATGCAAACGCGATCTCTGATCTCTCTCTTGCTCTATTGATTGGGGTCCCCTTTCAAGAGGAATGAGGGGTATATTTATATATTTTCAAGAGTGACATGGCCCATAAATAGGAGGAAGATCAAAGGTAAATGGGGAGTGGTTTGGATGGACGACAGATGTTGAAACCCTTGATTGTGAACCATTAACTAGATATTTGAAGGTCTTAATGATGTCGAAATTTTGTGACCTTGGGCTCATTGGATTTTTCTCGTCAAGATGCTCGATTCAACTATAAGCATGTCATTTTTGGAAACCGTTCAGTAAATCAAATTGTGGTTTGATCCTTCCAACGGCGCTTCGGGTCCTTGATTTGGACTCATTTGGGCTCAAATTGAGTCAAATTTAGTGTCGTTGGGTTTGTATTCTCGAGACATTCAGTTCGACTGTAAGTTTGCTGAAATTGGAGTTCGGATAATTCCAAATTTAATTTTGGAAGTTTCCAACTTGATTTTTCCTCAAGATTTGTGCTGGATCAGGATAATTTTTTGGTGATGTATCAATACTATACATTGAAGTGGAACTTATGCGATATGAAGTAATGGAAACAAAATAATAAAGGAATGACTTTATTCAAATATTAAGAATAATCTAATAATTAATTGAAAATAATAATACATTTCTTTCAACGATTAAATAACTTCAAGAAAAGAAAGCTAGAACTTGCTAGCAAACCACTCGCAGCAGAATACATCAACTACTGAAGATGATGATAAAACAAATCAAATCTCATAACCAGAAAAGAAAAAAGCATTTCAATATTCTTTTTGAGCGACTTCCGATCCGACAAGATGAGAAGAAGGCAAAGGAAAAGAGAAGAAGGCAAGAGTTTACTGAGGGTGGCAGGCTGGAGGCGTGTTGGGAACATGGAATGATATGAAATAGGAGGGTTGTGATATTGAAGCTATCTTGTAACAAGTAGGCTTTAACTTTAGTGGGATTAAATTTTGTAAATCCGGAATTAAAAAATTTTGAGGTTATTAAATCATAAAAGTTGTTTGGTATGACATATGTTAAATCATGATAAATTTTGATAAATAGTTTGGCGACATAATTCAGGATTTAAGACTGTTGATTCATTTATAAATTAAATTTAATATATTTTGAATTTAATTTGTGTGTTAAGTATTGTTGTGTCTTGGAATATCACGGCGATAAAAAATATAAAGTTTAATGTCTTAGCTTTATACGAAGATCCAGCACACAATCAGATAAAAGAGAAGGGTATAGCATTCATAAGAGACACCATAGTTTTTACATGAAAACTCCTAAAAAGGTAGAAATACCATGGGGCTTGGCCCAGTTTGAAAAAATCCACAAGTGTTTGCAGTCGATTAGTGCATTACATGGTGAGAGTTGGGGGAAGGCCTTGGCTTGATGTAGCAAACATACATCATATAGAGTGCATTACATGGTGGGAGTTATAAGAATCAGTATTGACATGTTTATTTGGTCGGCATGGCCATAGTCGGCAGGTGACAGAGGTCAAAAAGATCGTAATCAGGTGACGGTGGTCTGAAGGACTGTAGTCGGCAAGCGATGGAGCTCGGAAAGACCGTAGCAGGTGACAAAGGTCGGAAGGACTGTGGTCAGTGAGTGATAGAGGTTGAAAAGATCATAGTCCCCTGTTGACTGAGGTCGAAAAGACCGTAATCGATAGGTGACGAAGGTCAGAAAGATTGTGGTTTAGTGACGAAGGTCGAAAGGACCGTAGTTGACAGGCGATGGAGGTCAAATGGATCGTTATCCAGCAAAAAATGTTAGAAGGATTGTAGTCAGTATGCAACTGCGGTCAGAATGACCATTATTGGCGATGGAGGTCATAAGGATAGTATTCGGCGGGTGATAGTGCTAAAAAAGATCATAGTCAGGCAACGGAGGTCGGAAAGATCGTAGACTGGCGACGGAGGTCAAAAGGACCATAGTATATTAAGTTGCGGAGGTCATAAGGATTATTATCTAGAGACGAAGGTCAACAGGATCATAGTTGGCTGGTGATGGAGGTCAGAATGACTGTTATATAGCAATGGAGGTCCAAAAAGACTCTAGTCTGCATGCGACGGAGGTCGGAAAGACTGTAGTCTGGCAATAGAGGTCAGAATGATCGTAATCGACAGACGATGAAGGTTGAAAGGACTATTATCTAGTGTTGGAGGTCTGAAGGACCTTAGTCGATAGACGACTATGATCATAAAGATCATTGTTGGCAATAGAGATCAGAAGTACTGTAGTTTGTGGGCGACGATGGTCAGAAAGATCATAATCCAGTGACAAATGTCAAAATGATCATAGTCAAGCGACGGAGGTCGGAAAGACCATAGTCGGGTGACGAAGGTCATAAAGACTGTAGTCGGGTAAAGGTGATCGTAAGGATCGTAGTTAGTGGGCGACAGAGCATAGAAAGTCCTTATCAAGCGATAGAGGTTGGAAGGACTATAATCAGTAGACGATGGAGTTTGGAAATATCATACTATGATGATGGAGGCTAGAAAGATCATTGTTAGTAAGCGACAAAGATCAGAATGACTATTATTTAGCAACAGAGATCGGCTGGGTAAACCATTGGCATGTGATAGAGGTTTAAGGGACTGTTAACTAATGACAGAGGTCTAAAAGGATAAAAGTCAGTAGGCAAAAAATGTTCAAAATACCATAGTCTGGTGATAGAGGTCAACAGGATTATTTTATGGCGACAAATATCGAAAGGATTGTAATTGGTAGACGAAGAAGGTCAGAAGGACTGTTATATGGCGACAAAGGTTTGAAAAGACTGTAGTCGGTGGGCGATGGAGGTCAGAAAGACCATAGTATTGTGAAGAAGGTTGAAAGGACTGTATTATATAGACGATGGAGGTCAAAAGGACCGTTATCTGGTGATGGAGGTAGGAAGAATCGTAGTCGGCAGGCGACTGTGGTCAGAAAGACCATTATCACCAGTGGAGATAAGAAGGACCATAGTCGAAGTGCGACGGTGGTGAGAAAGATTATAGTCAGGTGACAGAGGTCGGAAAGACCATAGTCATGTGAAGGTGGTCAAAAGGACCGTAGTCGACGGGTGAGAAAGGTCGGAAAGATCGTTATCAAGCGACGGAGGTCGAAAGGACCATAGTCGACAAACGATATAGGCCAAAAAGATTTTAATCTGACGACAGAGGTCGGAAGGATCATAGTTGGCAGACGACGAAGGCCTAAATGACTATTATCTAATGAAGAAGGTCCAAAAGGGCCATAGTCGACTAATAACGAAGGTCTAAAAGAACATAGTATGATAACGAAGGTTAAAAGGACTGTAGTCAGCGGGAGATGGAGTTCGGAAAGATCATAGTCTTGTAACAGAGGTTGGAAGGATCATAATCGGCAAGTGACTATGATCAGAAATACCATTGTCGGCAATGGAGATCAGAAAGATCATAATCGGCGGGCTTGGTGGTGAAAAAGACTGTAGTTAGGCGACAAAGGTCGAAAAGACTATAGTTAGGCGAAGGTGGTTAGAATGACAGTAGTTGGCAGGCGACGGAGGTCAAAAAAATTATAGTCGACGATGGTGGTTCGGAGGAAATCTGGTGACAATCGGTGGCCGGGTGTAAGTCTAGTGATAATTGGTGGTCGGGCGGAAGTCCGGTGACAGTTGGTGGATGGGCGATCGTCGAGGAGTTTGGTGGAAATAGAGATCTCAGTTTTATCTTTCTCCCCTCCCTTCTTTTTCTTCCTTGCTTGGTCCCTCCTCAATGAAGAATGAGGGGTCTATTTATTTGTTTTTGGGAGTGGCAAGACCAGTAAATAGGGAGAAGAACAATGACATGTTGGGGACGACTCCCTTATTATAGACCATTTATCAAGTATTTGAGTGCCTTAATAATGTTGAATTCAACGATTTTGGGCTCATTGGATTATTCTTGTCGAGCTACTCAATTTGACTATAAGCATGTTATATTTAGAAATTGTTTAGTCATCCAGTTTATAGTTTAAACCTTTTAAATAAACTTCGGGTCTTCAATTTGGACCCATTCAGGCTCATACCGAGTCAAATTTAGCGTCGTTGTATTCGTCTTTTCGAGACATTTAATTTGACTATAAGTTTATTGAAATTGGAGTTCATATGATCTTGAATTTATTTTTAAAATTTTTCAACTTTATTTTGCCTTGAGATTCGTGTATGATCAAGATAAAATTTTGATGATATATCAAGTATGAATTACTTATTAACTTTAATTTTAATTATCTTTAATAAGTTATAATGATAAATAATATAATTAGGAGCTATTTTAATTGTTACAAATTATCAAATTAGTTATTTAGGTGTTAATTATCAAATTAATTATTATATTACTAATTATCTAATTATATTTTTGAACCCTAATTATTTTGTTAATCATTTTTTAAATTAGAAATTATTTAACTAATACTCATAATTAATTAATTAATTAATTAATTAATTATTTAATTCATTTTAATTATTAATTATATTGTTAATTATCTCATTGGTCTCTTAAATATTCAATTACTAATTATTTATGTAATTATTATTTACAATATTAAGAATATAATTAACTATTTTTATTTTAAACTATATAAATAAACTAATTTAATGACCAATTATTGTAATAATCAGTTACTTAAGCTAAATTATATTACTAATTTAATTAATCTAATTAATTATTAATATTTAAATAATAATAATAATGTTAACTTTGTTTCATTTTTAATTTAGGAGGTTGTTTAGGGTTTGCTTTTCATCTTCTTCCTGCGTTAGCTGTCGCTTTTCCTTGTCATAATTTCTTTGTGGTTGCTTCGTCTTTGCATGTCGTGCTTTGCATGACATGAGCTCACTTGCTGCTTCGCCTCCTTCGAAGGCCTCAGATTGGAAGTCACGAAGGGAGCTCACTAGCTGCGTAGGTAACATTCGCCTCCTCCTTCCTTCATGACGGGAGCTAGCTCTTTCGCATGCTCGTAAATCCCGTAGTCCGTAAGTTCTAAAATTTGCCGAACCAAGGGATTTACAAAATACTGGATTTACGTCGTAAATTCATAAATTCGGGATTTAATGATGATTGGGATTTACGAAGGATTCGAAAACCGTTTGGCAAGATTTACCGTAAATCCAGCCTAAATCCGAGCGTAAATTTGATACCAAACAACTTCAAAAGGAATGTGAAATAGACGGTTGGATTTAAACTATTTGTGCGGTTGGATTTGGCTAACGGCAAAATCACAAGTAACTTTTTAATAATAGTAATATATCATAAAATTTAAATATATTTATATGTTTAATATTTTGTTAATATTAATAAATTATATCGAAATATATGTATGAAAATATGAATTTTTTTAATAAGTTAGTTATATGGATGATTTATTAAAAATTAAGAATTATATAAATAAATGTAAAGATTTTGATTTAAATATATAAATAGATAGGACTTTTATGATATTTGTGTAATTTCTAAATTTTCTTATAAATGAAATATAAATTAAGCTTTTTTTATTTATTTTTTTTTCATAAAATACAATCATTTAAAAACTTTATATGGTAAGTAAATACAGCATAGCTCAGGTCAATGAACTAATGGAACTGTTTTAGCAATCTCATATCTCAAAATTTCTTCGAAGGGAATTCGACGAAATCTATGGAGAGGAGGAAGCGATCTTGCAGAAATTGGGAGCTTTTCCTCCTCCTCATCCTCCTCGCGGGCTGGCCCCGCCGCCTCTCCGCCCTATCTGTCACGGTCACGGACACGGAGTGCGTGTACGAGTTCGTCGCTTTTGACGGTGATACTGTATCCGGCAACTTCGTTGTCGTCGACCATGATATTTTCTGGGGCTCTGACCATCCAGGCCTCGATCTAACTGTGAGCACCTGCCTTTTCTCAAGTTCTGTTTTTTAGTTCTTTTGTTTACTTGATGCTGTTTCTGGAGTGAAACTCGATTCATTGTGACGAGTTTTATTGTTTCATTTGATTGTTCCTTGTGGATTTAATGGCAGAGGTTTCTTGTCATGCGAATTGATATAATTCTTAGTAGGAAAATGGGGCTTATTGGTTTGTATTTATTTGTTATTGCAAATTTTTTTTTTAAAAAAAATCTTGATTTAAAATTTTGATTTATTTCCTGATGTCAGTGACTGTTGAAGTATCATCTGATTTCTTGATTTGGGTTTGTGTTAATTTTTGTTCTCTTCCCAAACTTCTTCCCGCGGTGTTAGGGCATTCACCAAGTTAAGGAATAATCAATAGAGTATTATGCATCGTCACCGCACCTAAATTTGTTCTTGTATCGCCCTCAATTAGCTGATTTAAATCTGATGCTTTTTCCATGTTTTTTTTTTTTCGGAAATATTTGAGAAGATATTTTTTTTTGCATGTAACTAGGATCAACACGATCAAATCTTGCATTACACGCCAGAGAATAAAATATGTGTAGAGCAAATGGTATCATGAAACAAAATCAAATAAAATGTCGGAAAACAAGCTTGAGAACACAATATTAAACCTCTACATCACTTTCATGCGGCATTCACCATTGTTGTTGTTCCCAAGCTCGCTTCAGAGGCTTATTCCTCTTTTCCACTGTAGCACAATCAGACAACAGCTCAGCGTGAAACCTACAACTTTATGAAAACCCAACAGCGAAATTAAAATTGGATAATCATGCATGAACAAGAAATATAAAGTTTATGTTCTGCATATATGCAAAAGGCCTAGCTCTTGGTCTTAATAACTCCACCTAAAGCTTCATATGATCATTATAGAGATTTAAATGCCTTTCACTATTTGTGTCACATGCACACAACCTATGGACCTATACTGACATTTTTAATTGACCTATTGCTTTATTGAAAAGAAGGAAGAAACTTTCCATTTAGCGCACTCAAACTCGTAGCGCACTAGTAGGAAGCAAATTTGAGAATCCTTGTGGGACTGGTTTGAGTGCTCTCCTTCTAAAAAAAACTTTCCATTTTACTCTTATTTTCTTAATATCAAACACATTAGTTGGAAGCAAGTTTGAGAATCCTTGTGGGACGGGCTTGAGTGCTCACCCTGCAAAAAAAAAAACTTTCCTTTTAACTCTTATTTTCTTAATATCAAATCTTTTAAAAATTTGAAACCAATAATTCAACACAAAAAATTAAAATAAGAAAAATATAATAACAATAGTAATAACTATTAACAATAACAATAGTAATAATGGTCAATCAAACTATGTGCATACATTATTTTGCATCATGGTGGATTGAGATTAATGATTAATGAAATACCTTCAACCAAAGTCCTTAGCTTATCCTCTATAATTATCAAGGTTTAAAATTGCGTAAATAAGCCTTGAGGCGGCTTTCGTCCGTGAGGCGAGGCGTAAGCCTCACGGACGCAGAATTGCGTAAATGAGAATTTAAGGATTTTAGCAGGTAAATAATAGCAAGATTCTATCATACAATAAAAACATCTAAATGACAAGTGGAATTAGTGGAAATTAAGAAAAGAGATGCAATAAAAGCATGTTTCAAAGTACAAAACCACAAAATTATAGTCTATCAGAACTCTCAAAATACAATTAAGAAGAAACATATAAAATCTAATCATATCCCATCACTAAATGGGTCTTCAAGGGAATCTTCTTCTCCAATTGTATCTATGAATGTCATATCTTCATCATCTTCAATATGATTCACTTTTCTCTTCCCTATTCAATAAGAATGATCATTAATTCATTATCATTGTTAATTACTCACTTGATATAAATATAATGCAATAGCATATAATGCAATAGCATATCATTGTTAATTACTCATCATCTATGAACCACTCATTATCAGATGACACATCATCACACACCAACGGATTCTCATCATCCTTCAACCCCTTATTCCTCAACCTCTTATCTCTTAACCTCTTGTTGTGCATAATATATACAAGGGAGTTCATTCTGAGTGTTGATAGCCGATTTCTTCTCTTTGTTTACACTTGACTATATGTACTCCAGTTTCGCTCACACCCAGAAGAAGAACAAGTGAGGTCCAAAACTCTTACAACAAAATTCTGTAACTCAGGGGTGGAATCACCAAATTGGATCCACCATTCAACTGTTTTCAAGAAGAAAAATGATAATCAAAACTTAAGAAAGTGTCTTGCATTTACCAAAATAAGTATACTTGGAGATCATTTGGCAATCGTTGATTTTGCTGCATGCAGATCGAAAAAAATCTCTTTATTCCGAAATAGAACAAGTTGTAAATCTGCAAGCTCCCTATCTGCCTGCTCTGGTATTAGTCGTTCCATGCAATGATACAGACTAAGCTTCACCTCTGGGTTTGAAGATTTCCTCTCTGAATATTGAAATTGAGGATTGAGATAATATGCCGCTGCATGTAGATGACAATGTAACTGTACCTCCCACCGAGCATCAATGATATTTCAAATCTCTCTATAACTTGCCTCCTCTCCTCCCAAATTGTGTGCAATCAACTCCTTGGCCTCATCCATAACATTATAAATAAAACCCATTGCTGGTTTCTTCTCGGCATCCACTAAACGTAAAACTTGCACCAAGGGTCTCGTGCTCAATATGGCATAGGTCACAGTAGTCCAAAATTTATCATTTAGAATTATTTTTCTTATTTCCTTCCTCTCACTTTTCTTCCCCCACGTAGAGTTAAGCCATTCTGTTGATGTAAACGTTGCTTCCAGAGGTTGTCTCACATCCAACAGGCTCTGCAGTGTCAAATAAGATGTGGCAAACCTGTAGATTTACAATGCACAAATGTAAGAAGAAACCTAGTGGTTGCATGGCGAATGATTTCCTTCTTTGAAAATTTTCTCATTAAGGCTAAGACCCATGAGTGGTTGTATATGAACTTTGTGATCTTCTTCGCCCTAGAAAGAGCGCTCTTGTGTTGAGGTAAATCACCAAGTTCCCCCAATATGAGATCGATACAGTGTGCTGCACATGGGGTCCAATATAGGTGTTTCCTCTTCTCCATCAACATCTAATCAGCTGCTTTGTATGCACTGGCATTGTCAGTCACCACCTGGACAACCAATTGCTCCCCAATCTCCTCAACAACCCCATCTAGTAAATTGAAAATGAATTCAGCATTTTTAACCTCATCTGAAGCTTCATCTGATCGTAAAAATACTGTGCCGTAGGGATTGTTGACAATGATATTAATCAAGCTCCTACTCTTCATGTCAGACCATCCATCTGACATAATTGTAACACCAGTTTCACTCCATATCTGTTTAATCTCATCAATGGTATGCTGTGTGTTCTGTAGCTCATCCTTCAGAATTCATGTTCGTAACTCGTACATGGAAGGTGCCTTCAACCCTCTCCCATACAACCCTACAGACTGCAACATATTGAAGTAGGCCGGCGATGTCGCAACATTAAATGGTATGACATTCTAAAAAAAAAATCTGCCAATATCCATGCAAACATGCCGTCGACCCTCTCTGGTACCAGCCGCATGCATCATCTGTGCTTGTCCTATATCCTCTCCTGGATTAGTCATATACTGGTCCATAGGACCCCGCGCACCTCTATTATGTATAGTGGAGGAAGAGCCCTTTCCACTCTCGCTCCCAAAGTAAGCACCATGTTCGATCCTTTCATCAAATTTCTCCTGTTGTTAAATGTTTGGCCATAGTACTCTTTTTCATATAAGCTGTAATTTCCTCTTTCACCTTATCCGGAACATTCGCACATGATGCTACATTCTTATGTGAGCCGGATAAGTGTTCCTTCATGCGAGTTACTCCTCCCTTCACCACCTTATCACAAAAATTACATTTTAAATACACATATGTCTTATCGCCACCTCCTACATCAACTTGCACACTGTATTTTCAAAAAGGGTCACGCCGCAATGACGTATTTGTCTTTTCCTTGCCCCTAACCATATTTCCTAAAGCACAAATGCAAAATAAAACACAAAAACATAAAATAATAAGCATGAATATGAAAAAGTAGACTAACACTAACAATAATTACTAAAGATGATGAATAGAACAATATGACGGACTGTAGGGGGTCCAAGGGGGCGCTGCCCCCTGGCGGGGTTCGACCTGCCCGGTCAGGTCGCGTGGTCAAGGGGCAGCGCCCCTGCGGGGGTTTCCGGGAAGATATCAAGTGATACCAAGCATGTACCTAGCAGTACCGAGCATGTACCTAGCGGTACTGAGCGGTACCGAGCATGTACCTAGCAGTACCGAGCAAATACCTAGCTGTACCGAGCATATACTTAGTAGTACCGAGCATATTCTGAGCGGTACCGAGCATATACTGAGCGGTACCGAGCATGTACATAGCGGTACCGAGCATGTACCTAGCGGTACCGAAAACTATGACCCTAGCTTTCCTATAAGTTGAAAAATCAAACCCTAAACTTAAAAAGAACCTTAAGAACACTTTAAGAAGTGATGTAGAGGGGAGGCCGAAAACAAATGACTCACCGGCGAGAGGCGGCGCCGGCGAGAGAGGTGCCAGAAACATGCGGGAGAGCCAAATCGGGCTTCTGTGTGCTTCCTGCGCGGCTTCGGTTGACGTCTTTGGTCGGGTAAGTGGGTCTTTGGAAGGGTAAGTGGGTATAAGGAAGATTTTAAGAGGTTTTTTTAAGTAAGTGGGGCCCCATATTTGAGGCGTATGCCTCAAAGAAAATTGCGCAATAACACTAGTGAGGCGCTCCTCAGTCCACCTAAGGCGTACGCCTCATGATGCCTGAGAATTGCGTAGGCTTTGAGGCTATTTTGAAGTAAATTGCGCAAAGACGCGCCTCAGATTGCGCAATTTTAAACTATGATAATTATACATACAATAGAAAGAATGTTTTTGGTTTATTATGTGAGCTAGCACTTCTATGGCCACACACTTAATCTTGATTCTTATAAATGATATTAATGGTTTAATCTAAATACATAACGATGACCTCATAATTACTCTCATTCGGATGAATCCTCAAAGGGTTATATTGATGGAACGAACCCTATAAAATTACACATTTGACTCATTGAGTGCTAAGTCGTCCTAATTGTCACACAAGATAGGGAACATCACCATAGGTGTGAGATTTGAGTTGAACTCCTGATAATTCATGGTCATCAATCATTACATAATATGCTTTGCTTATACTATTTGAAGTTGTTGGTCCACAGACTATGAAGGTAGGGATTTAGAACTAGTGATGTTCATATGGGCTTAAACCCATCCCCTTGTGATATATAAATATAAGAGTTCTTGATACATGAAATCTTAGGGTCTAGGTTCACTAATACAAAAATAAGAAGTGATGCTCGAAGAAATATATAAAACGTAAAAATTTATAGTTTCTCTACTTTGATTTTAGAAAAAAATTAGTCTCTTTTGATGCAAAAGCAGAAAGCTGATTTTATTCATTTCAAATAATGCTATAGAAATCACCAAAATTCAAATTTCCCCAATAAACCTATGAATGAATAGAAAATTTCATGATGATTAAATTTTACGACACAAAAAAGAAAATCAAAATATGCATATTTGATAAAATCTCAATTCTCAATCACCAAAATAAAACCTATTATAAAGTGTGAGAAGAAAATGAGCAAGGATATAAGTCAACAAAGTTACAAGCCTCTCGACATTTAACAATGAAGCATCTCTTGGATATAATCTTCAAGCATGACAATGCACTCGAGTAATCTACATTCAACAATATACAAAAGTATTGGTAGGGTGATTAAATTTTTGTTAAACCATAGACATGATTTTAGAGGAAAGAAATGTTGAATTGAGTAGTACTCAAACTCAAGTTAATATATTATCTGAGCTTTAAACAGTACTCGACCTTGAACTCGTGGCTTGTTAAGCTGAGCTTACACGCTTATAAATGTGTCAAGCTAGAGTTGTCTCATAAGCCTAGATAAGTTTAACCTGACTTAGCCAATCCAAGGCAAGCTAAGTAAAGCCATACAAAGTTAAGCCATATTTAACAAAGAACAATAACTTCTCAAAATTCTCCAAAATTTGATCAAATATTGCAATTTCAATTCAAAAACTTGAAGTCCGACAAGAACTTTGCTAAGAATGATAAATCCAACAAAATTTTCATCATATTATTTATTTATTACCTTTCTTTTGATGTGCTTTGGTGAAATCATGTTTGTGAAGTGAAGCAAACAGCAAAGCTTTTTAGAAGGTATGGCATTTTTTTAAGATGTTATTCACGGTCCAAGCATAGGATTGAATAAAACATGAAAGCTTTAGCATTAGTCTCAAATCAGATAGTTGAAGAATATGTTTTTGTAGTTACACTATTTTTAAGTGGATGTTGCTCGTCTTTTATCATGTATTAGACAATTTAGCCTGATGAATGTGATTAATATTGATAGTGCAAAAAGAAAGTTGTCGTTTGTTTACAATATTTGCTAACTATTTGATAATTGAGTAATTGTAAACATTGCCAAGACTTTTATGTGTTGCTATACTCAATATCATCATTATCATTAGCCTTATCCCAGTTATTTGGGATTGGCATCATGTATCCTCCATTTTACTATATTCCTGCTAAGTGATATCTTACTGTTAAATCTATTATTCACAAATTATTTTGAACAACTTTCATATATATAACCTTAGGTCTACTTCTTTACGTTCTAATCTTCTAATACTAATTTTATCAACTCCTAATAGATAGATTTTCTATCCTTTGGAATTTATATGCAAAATGTGAAACATGAAAATTGATCTTGTACAAATTTAAATATTATGGGAATGGTTTCTAATTCATCGAAGTTTGAAAAGAAAGTAGCAAATAACAAATAGTGTGCATACTGATCTCAAGGGGCAAGGAAAGAAGTTTGTTCTTTAGTTTCAACTCCCAAAAAACTGGATTTTACAGCTTCAAGTAAAATGCTATAGATTTTAAAAGATTGGATGCATGTTAGTGTTGGAAAGAAGACTTTTCATCCTTTCGTTACTCTTCATATATGGCTTGAATTTTATCATTTTAATTTCTCGCCATACCATCTCTGTTATCATTTTAATTTCATATATTGTTTTTGTTTTATCGTGTTTATGTTTGTTCAAGTATTTTCTTTTCCAGCTCCTATATACAATATATAGATCTTGGAATGGAAAAATGACATATAGATCATCTTAATGTCTCTTGATGTTCTTGCGACTTGGTGTAGGTATCATCACCGGCCGGTAACATGGTTCACTCAACACATGGATCTTCTGGAGCAAAATTTGAATTTAAGGCTCCTCGAGCTGGAATGTACAAGTTCTGCTTTCATAATCCCAAAGGAATACCAGAAACTGTGTCATTTTACATCCATGTTGGGCACATTCCTAATGAGCATGATCTGGCTAAAGATGGTTAGTCCTTGTTTCTTCATTTGTCTCTTGATTAGAGAATCTGTGATTTCAATGCAAAAATGTTGATTATAAAGTCTTACAGTTACAAAGTTGCAGTAAGGAGAGAAATCCAATATTAGATATTGTGTTCGTGTTCATTTCAAACAAAATGCTTCTTATTTAAAGTTTAACTGATGGTTTATTGATGCTCATATGAAAAGAAAAAAAAGTGATGCCCCTTGTATGCTCAATTTGTGGACATCAATATTAGTTTCTTTACAAAATAATATGAAATTCAGATCTTCACAAAATAACCACACCTAACATCCAGTTATGTTTTTGTGTTCAACTTACTTTTGTGCCATTGTTTGCTTTCCTTTTCAGAGCATTTAAATCCTGTGAATGTGAAGATAGCAGAACTTCGCGAAGCATTAGAATCTGTCACAGCAGAGCAAAAATACCTTAAAGCACGGGAAGCACGTCATCGTCGTAGTAAGGAACTGATTTTTTATTTTTTAACCTGCTGCTCAGTAGTATGGAAAAAAATTATGCTAGAATATATTGCATATTTAGTAGTTTTTTCTTCTTATTAATCTCCATTATTATCAACATCCAATTTCTTATTTTCTATTCAAATATAAGATATTTCTTCTGTACATTTTTTAAACAAAAAACTATTAATAATATGTGAAGATGCAATGCATTTAGTCAGGTGTAATATTTATCTAATTTAGAGGACAATAGCTTTGCTAAAAGTTAAAATCTTCTTTTAAACAGCATATGAATGAACCTTGTAAAATTTAGCTGAGTTTACACTAGTAAAAGCAAGCAGAAATTCATAGGAGCCACCCACATTTTGCTTTCTGTGAACAATAAACTGATGATGCAGACACTTGTATTGTTTTTGTTGCAGCCTATATAAACTGCAAATGCGTAAAAAGAAAATATTAATGAGTTTATGGTATAATGCATGCAATGCTTTCTAGGTAATTCAACAAATTTCGATGCATGGAGGTCATTCATTGGAGATATATTAAGGATTGTATGATAGCCTCAGTGAGTTCTTAGAAAGATGGGAGATCTATTAAGCTATAACCTATATTAAATTGAAGATATATTAAGCTATTAAATTTTTTTCTTTTATATTCACTGTAAGAATAGCTTACAAGTTCATTGAAAAATTGCACAATAATCAGTGTTAGTTTTTAGCAAATTATGTAGGAAAGCAATGTCCCATGCTTCACGGATACAAATAATGGCTTCAAATCATACGGAAATAATCCAAGAATGAGAATGACTAAATAATAAGTGGAAGATGGAAATAGATGAGAATATGAATTAAAAATAATGAGAAAGTTGAAATTATTTAAATTCTCACCTGAATGGTGGTAGGATACACATCTATTTATCTAATTATATAGAGTATCTCAACTGTAACATGATGTCCATTGGAATTGATGCAAGGCATGTTAGAATGTAAAATTTGCTAATGAAACCAAGGATAGGATGCTGATGGGGACATCAGATCATCATGGAAAGTTTATCAGAGACGTGGCCGCCGATCTACGGCCATGATACGGCCATGATCGAGTCTTTATATTTTTGAGTCATTGATGTATTTTTTATTTTCATGTATTTTGTTATTTGCTTATGTGGTTTTATTATTTCCCGTTGTACCCCTATTATGGGAGTTGTCGTATGTAAGCCCAAAGGGCATTTGTGTCTTTTTGATTTTGAGTCATGTGTATGAGGCTATTTAAAGCCCCACTTTGTTCTATTTCAGGGAATGAATGAATGATTATGAAAAATTTATTGTCCTTGTGTGTTGAGAGTGTTTGAGAGTTCTTGGAGAGAACTTTGGAGAAATCCCTAGGAGAGGGAGATCGGATCACACACCAACCTTGGAGACGGCCGGGTTCGTGGTCTTTCTTTATCTTTTGTCTTTCCTCCTTCCACCACCATCACCGGACATCATTACACCCAAACCCTTCTCCATCTCCACGCCATCGTTTCCTCCCAATTGAACTTCCCCCCACCTCCTCCACCACAAGCCGCCGGCCACCTCACCCGACTCCTCCTCCCTCAACCTCTCTGCCCAAGCCCACACCCGGCCTGCCCATAACCGCCGGCCAGAGACTTTAGCCGCCGGTCACATTCAAGACCCTTTCCCCTCTCGAGTTTCTTACTTGGGTGTGAGATGATTTGGGATAAATTTTGAATTTCAAATCCTTGAATTTGAATTTCAAATCCTTGAATTTGAATTTCAAATTTCTGCATAAAATAACTCATCTATTTTAGGAAAGCTTCTATTTTAATCTAATTTGAATTTCAAAATTCAATTGGATTTTAATTAAACCTTTCATAAATCTAAAATCTGAGTTAATAAACTTTATTAGCTCTCATTAATCTCCCATTGACCAGAATTCCCGCCGGCCCCCTATGGAGACCAATTAAAACTTCTTTCCTAATTCCAGTTTATGTTTTTGTAAATAATCTCAATTCCCGTACTCTTACCTGGGCCGAAATTATCTCTCATGGCATTGCACTAAATTATTTCCTAATATTAAAACTGGATTTAGGAAACAAGGGTCACCTCCCCCTCAATTCCGCCGATTCCTTCTCCCTGTCACCGCCCCCTCCTCTCCCCTAATTGCACTAATTAAACACTCTTCCAAAGTCCATAAAGGAAATTGCTCTCAGCTTGCTACTCACGACCAAGGCTAGATTTCACCTCAAAGTTTTCTACGACCTAGCCAACTGAAATCTGAGAACTCATCTCAGATTTTTTTTTTTTTTTTTAAATCTGAAACTGTTTTTTCAGATTGTAAGGGAAGAGGTTTGGAGCTTGCATCCTCTCCCCGACCAAGAGAAACTTCTTTCTCTTCCTTCACTTCAAGAGCCCTAAGCAAGACAAAGAGGAGAGTTCTTTCGTCATCCCCATGCATGGCGGATCCGAAAACTGAGTACGGCATCACTTGGGATGACGCCGGCTTCACCGACATTCTTGGGTCCACCTTCTTCGACGTGAATCCGGAGATCGACCACACAATCGAAGAATACGTGGATTGCATCTTGTTCGTATTGACGGAAGCCATTGACGAACACTTTGAAGGCGTCGAGTGGAGGATCTCGACGTCTCCTTAAGCAAAGGTTTTTCCTTTTTTCACTTGCATTCAAATTCTTCTAAATCTAAGTTCTCATTTGGTTAGATTGTAATCGCGAAAGTCTCCTCCAAGTGCTCTTGCTAAGCTTAGTAATTCGTAGGTTATTGAGTGTACTTTTTTTGCATCCTAAATCTCGTTGTTAGACTAGGGATTAAATTGAAGACTACTATTTTGCATTGTTTCAATTATTTTATTTATCTTGAAAATTTCAAAGCTTGGAGCATGTAATTTAGCCTACGCAAAGCATCTCTTTATTTGTTTTAGTCGACGTTGAGAATTGCTAATAATTTTAATCCAAAATTATTCTAACCAAGAAGTTGTGCAATGCCTAAAATGAAGCCATAAGCATGTCATCTAATTAGTCCTGCATCAGATTCACAAAAGACCATGATTTGCAGTACTTCAACTCTTAGTGTAGGCTAAGTTTTGTCTTTTAGAAGTGGAAATAATAAAGCACATTAAACTCGTTCCAACTAATAAATAAATATCAACAAAATAAAAAATTTTACTAGAATATGAGCACCAATAAAATCCACATAATGACCAAGGCTCATACCCAAAAATAAAAACAATATTGCACTAAATTTGACAAATTATTAATCATGTATACAAAATCAATTACGAAGCATGCAGATGAAAAAGGATCAATGATGGAAGTCACCAAAATTCCCACACCTCCCACCGGTACAAGATAGAGCTTTTTCCTAGAAGCTATCTGATGCGGACCGCCGCCGACCGGCAGAGGAGGAGACGTGCGAGCCGCCGCCGGCCGGCAGAGGAAGTGCCGGCGACCCCGGAGTACGCGGCATCGGCCGGGAAGGAGACCGCGCGGGTTGATCCGCCAAAGGCGACGCGGGCGCGAGACTTGACGCGGAGCGGAGCGGGGGGTCGGCTTGAGCGGAACCGGTCCATTTCTGGACCGGTTTGGCTCGGGTC